GGTCGCAAGATGCAAAGCATGAAAGAAGTGCATGAACTTTTTGGAAACTAAATTTAGTAAAATTTGTATTCTTTTTCTATTTTAATTTCAAGTTTTTCATTACTTTAAATCGCAAAGTCTTGTATGCTCGCTTTTTTGCACGGATTAATAAAAATATCTAAATCATTTATTGATTTATATCAATGTTCTTTTTAACAGCATACAAGCAATTTTCGCCGAAAGGTTCGCTAGGATTTGGCAAAGATTTTAAAGATCAAAACGCACGGTTAGTTTTCCATTTGATTTGTGTTTTGATATCTTAGTAAAAAACTTTGAATGCCGAATATGGTACGTCTTCCCTGCCAGTATAAGAGTTGTTCGAAGATTATAGGTTTAGGTTTTAGACGATAATTAAGAGAATGGGAGGAATGAATTCAATAAAGTGATTGTTTTGCAGTGGTATTATCATTGGTTTTGAAAATCTGCTAATAGAATTATTTTTCCAGACTATAGTTTTCTACTATTCTGAGACAGAAGGATAGCGTTATGAATTTCTTCATATGTCCATGTATTGCTATACTTTTGAATGTAATTTCTTAATTATGTTAGATTAGTTAGATAATGGCAGACATTTTTTTGAAATTTGTTCTAGTGTTATAAGATTTCGTGTTTTCAGTATCGATAGAAATCAACACATAATGAATCCGGCCGATATTGAAAGTCGTGCGTCGTATGCTTTATATTGTACGTTGTTATATTGTTACACATGTTAATTGTTGATTTTATACTTTGGTTGAATTGTTAATTTGTGTACGAAAGGTGACATATAATGTATAGTATAAAAATCATTGAGATATTTGATTATGCTTTGCACAAGAAACAAAATTGCATTAAAATTCAACAATTGCATAGGACCATGTCTCTTGCAGTGTTTTCTTGGCTTTATCAGGCGTAAAATATGCATTAGTAAACATGATGGTAACAGATAACAAATATCTTGTGCGGAATATTGCAGTTCTAATCGTAGGTTAACAGTTTCGTATCCATGATTGTCCAAAACATTGTGGGGGTTCGCGTGAAACTTGGTGAAAAAAATTTTCTGCATAAATCATATATTGTTTTTTAAAAGCTCGCATTCAGTTCTTTTCAGGTTCTTTTTCGTGAAAATTTTTTTATAAAATATACAAAGATGCACTTTTAAATTATAAATCTTTCACATTTTTTGGTGAGCTGATTAGTGATCAGATTTTTTCTACTCTTTGAAGTCAGTCATATTTTTATTCCATCCCAACTCATTTCAAATGCTCCGGTTGATGGGCCTTGGCCATTATCATAATTGTTAATGTAGACAGTTTACTGGAAGCTATGAAAATAATTGCTAAAATAATTATCTGTGGAAAGAAAATAATCTCTTGTTCAGAAAGCACTTCGCAGCTTTTAATATAAGACTCACGAAATACATAAAAATACACATAAAATTTATTCGTCTCATAATTTATAAATAAATCCATCCTATTGTAGATTTATCATTTAATATTTTTCTTTTTTTTTTCGAAATTTCTACTTCTTATTGCTGTGGTTGATATCTGGACCTGCTTAATTGAAGCTTTTGGAAATGTGCTGCTCAATTGCGCTCTGTCCACCCAATCCTTTAAGACCATCAACAAGCTTGAGAAGAAGATGTTCCGTAATAGACCGAGATCAAACTAATTTTACTCACTAAGATCAATCAAACAATATTGCAATGAAGTTGCATATTTGTTCGCCGCTAACTTCATCATTCTTCTATTCTCATAGTTTAGATATTTCGCGTCCAGGATAACAAAAGGCCAGCGAAACATAAGCAATCCATGAATTTCACCCATTTCCGACCACTTCTTCGTTGTAGTGGTCTGCCCTGCTTTCTTCATAATCGAGATCGAAGACCGCTGCATGAAAGAGAAGCATATTTAGGAAAACGTGAAATTACGAATGGAAGACGTGACAGTGATATGAAACACGGTATAATGCATTTTAGCAGTCTTTATTGCTACTCACAACCAGTACCACATCCGCGAAATCCGCAATGAGCATTTCTTTATTTCGAGAATGTGTCCGGTGATGGTGTTTCTAGAACGCGGCCCGTCAAGACTGACGACATTCACAAGTCTGCAATTCGAAAATCGCGAAATTCGTAAGCTTTGCCTTTCGGTTGGCAGTGGTTAAGTTTGAGAGGTGGATGCGGGAGAATCCGCTGCATTGCCCTGGGGTTACGATCGATTTTATTTCTTCTCCATCTCTATTACATTCTCAGTCACTGCGACTGTTAGAATGCTTTATCATTCACTGATTTTCTTTATCCCTAACCATCTCTGAAACCTCACCGTGATTATTTCTTATCTGTACGGTCTAAATAGCGTTCTGTGTGTAGTTTCCATTTCCCAGTCTCATACGAATTTTTCACTTAAATAATTTGCTTTATCAATGGTGTTGAGGAGGTACGCAGAAGAAAGACTGTAATTCTTTCGAACGATGTGCTTTATTAATTGTGTTGGGAAGGTAGTACAGAAAAGACGAAAGGAACGGGACTATTAGCTTGTTTGATAAAGAAAATGTCCGATTTTTGAAATGATCGTGGCTTTCATGCATCTTTTTCCCCTTTTGTCAATCCACTTTTAAGCATTAAATTATCATTTGTTCATTATGTGTCACTAGATTTTATGATAAAAAGAGTTGTAAAATTTGTAGTAAAATGATTCTGGTGAAAAGTTTGACTGCGATGGCAACTGAAAAGTTACTGCTGAAGACATCAGGTCAGCAATTCTTGGATGGTGTCGACTATATGTACCGTGTGGGCTTATCACCTGATCGGTTATCAGTCATGGAAACAACTAGCGGTAAATTCATCTTGCAGTTCCATTCACGATGCGATCTTCGCCCATTCGCTGTATGCATATATTTTGTTGCTATGTTGAACTGTTCTGACCGACCACATACTCTGTTTTCCTTCTTCCGAAGAGGGATATCATCTATTGTCACCTCTGCTCACTTTCCTTCCTTTCACGAACAAATTTTTTTTTTACAATTCATTTTAGGCCAATTATCCTAGTTTTCCACGACTACTTCGTGGTATAGTGCATATTAGAGCATGGCGAATTCAGTCTATTGAATTTTTAAATGTTGATTTCAAGATGGCCGATATACTTGATGTTGAACGTACACTCGAGGTGAGTTTTATTATTTTAATGCATAAAATAAGGTTAACAGTAATTACTGTCCTCTTATCGCTGCTTGTTTTGCATATTGATAGTTTTTATAATCAGAAAAGAATTTATAATGCTTTTTGGCTTTATATGATCAGAAAACTCAAGCTAATTATGTTAAGAGTCCCGCACTTATATATAATGAAATCTACTAATATCTAAATTGTTGTCAAAGAAACACGCTAGAATAGTAACACATTCTTTTACTCTCTAAAATATAGTGCGAAAGGTTTCAGACTTCAAATTTCTGTTAAAATCTCAAGATTTCATAATTTTATTTTCAGAAGCTCGAAGTGAATTTAGTACTGTTGCGCAATTGTACATATAACACAATCATGAAATCATCCCATGCATATCAAGTTTTATTAGCACTTAATCGCAATAAAAAATGCATTGTTTGTGAGTATGGTGATGACAGGTAAGTATGGCTTCTACCATTTTCAAAAGTTTTTTTTTTCATGAACTATATCAAATTCTAGAATTAAACTGCTTGAAGCACGTCTTTATTATTAAGCAGTGGTCATTTTGATTTTATTTTAGTTTTGTCGCCAACTTTTTTTTCAAATTTGATCAGTATTTCTAATGAGATGTTTACTCTTATGATACATTCAGTAATTGCTGTAGTCCATGTGTTTAAACTTTGGTTCTACAAGTTTCATTCAGTTTTGTTTTCACTTCATTTTATTCTCCTGATATTCTCCTGATTTTCTAGAATTTTCGAAGTTTTAAATAACATTTCATCATTACCTGTTATCTCTTTTTGCATTTCTTTTTTGAATTTGAGAAAAGATGGCTAACAGCCAGTTTTCTTACTTTTGAATTATTAGAAGGGAGAGTAAAGAACACAGCTCCATTGTAGTATTTTAGGGTTTTTATGATTTTAGGTTAAAAGATCGAGTATTACGTGGATATCAGCGTCACTCCTTCAACAATAATAATGTGCCTGGATTAAATGCTGCACCAGTCGCATACAACTGAAAATATATTTTATATTCAACATAGCACAAAAGTATTCCACATTTTCTTCCGTTTTTTATCAGTTGTTAGTTGATTGTATGGCTTTTACTCAATATTTTTATACTTGTTCAAGTTCTTTTTATGGAATTAAGGTCTGCATTTCATCCTTCCTTTATGGATCAGTAGCATATTTTTGTTAGTTTACAACTGAGAATTACGAGATTATTGTTTGAAAAATGCCATGAAAATTCAGCAAAGCTATTCTGGCTTTTTCAAAAATAATTGTTACTGGACATTTTCTTCATTACTTCTGTGAATTTATGCATCATTCAATTTTCCCTCATTGAATGACCGTTCGTCCTCGGCATTTTTTGTATTTTGGCTGAATATAAGCCTTTCCAATTCTTTTTCTCTTCCGCTTAAATTATATCAAATAGTCTTTTCTGATATCTCAAGCTTATTTCGTCTCCTTTTTAATTAATTTATTTCAAGCTATTTTTTTATATTTGTCAAAGACAGTTTTATTTAGCATATTTTCTTGGAAAAGTTTTAATGGATAAAGTCTTTTCGCCGTAGGAAAACTTAAGATTGATAGGTGATTTTTTTTTCATCAGTCGTGTCACTGGACAGCCTTAGAGGACCGAGACGGTTAAAACTTGGAACTTTGGTATCCATAATATAGTTGAAGCAAATATTCAATTCAAATTGAGTGTAGAAGAAACATGAATGTTTTTATTTAACGAGTAGTGTTGACATTCTGAAATGGGATGTAAAAACTGAAATTGAAATTAATAGACTTAACTTATGGAAACTTTGAAACTTTGCACTAGTTAGAAACTAACATCGATTGATGTATTTTTCAACAATTCCTGTTAAAATGAGTTCAAAAATTGGAAGTTTTTGTAAATTTCATTAAAAAGTTTTAGTAACTTGGTGTTTGATTAATCATTTAACTTTTTTTTTTAGGGCATTGTTTTACCGATTATTACGCTTCAAGTCGTCTGCTTATATCAAGTTTTCTGTTTCTTTCTAACTTTTGTGGACAGGGCAGAATATTTCCAGAAATATTAATTCGTCTTGTTTCTGTGTATTGCTTTGGAAAAAATCTGTGTCTGAAAAGATTTTATATTAATTTATTATGGGTAAAAATTCTGGTAAAGGAGCAAATGTGAAACATATAGTGGGTAGGAGACATTTTTGGTAATTCATTAGCAATTGTGTTTAACACTGAAATTGCGATTGGACTAAAATAGAAGAAAAAACAAGATGAGACCCTTTGCCTTAAAATATATGACAAGCTTCTTGTTACTAATATTACCATTTGCTACTCTGTATATATGCTTTTCAGTTATCGCTGTCTGTGATCATTGAATATATTAAATAAATATATGGAACTTCATTCCGATTATTTTTCTCCCCTGCATTTTTTGCCAACAATTCGCTATTGTCAATTCAAATGATAAAAAGAAACTGTTGGCATTGATTGTTTACTTTGAACTCTAAGGAAGCTAACAGAAGCTTACGCAGTAGAAAACAGCAAATTCCTAATGTGGCAATTTGTTGTTTACTGCTACAAAGTTGAAACTAGAGAAGAGATGTGGGAACGGAATTTTTGAGCTGAATGCAGTTCCTATTGAAATAAGGAAATGAATGAAAAATATAACTCATAATTTGCAACTAAGGTAAGCAAGTATCCTTAAGATGTTGAGTTCAAGCATGTGATAGTAAAAGGTAACGAGGACTTGCTTTTAAGTGTGCCATTAGAATTACTGGAAGCAATCCAAACTTGCCAAACAATTCTTCAGGGTCATTTGTGGAGAACGATCCAAATTCATAATGTAGCAAATTTCACCAATTGTCTTGGCAACACTACTGTAGAATGTCTATTCCATATACAGTAATGTTGATTTAATTTTTCACAGTTCAAAGCTGATGGCTATTCCGATGAACACATTTTCCGACATCTAAGATGTTGTGCAACATATTGTTATCGTAATGGTCTTCATTTATATTGATTTTAATAGCGGCAAATAATAAGGTTCACGCCGTTTATAAGATCCAGTACATTAATAAAAAAACCTTTTAATATATTTTTATTGCAGTCCAGTGATCTTAATACGGATAACACGCTCATCAGCTATAATTCACATTCTATTATAATTTAGAAGAGTCGAATGAATCACACGACTTCAGTCTGCAAACTTGCAAATCCGACGTTTTCAGAGGAAATGTTAATCAGGTGAAACCTTCCAATTAAGGTGGATTAAAAATTCAGTAAATACCAGCTTGACTCTGATAAAAATTTACTAATCATACTTGATTCTCAACGTGCTTCTGAATCTGCTTCGTTGAAGTTCTTTAATTTTCATTACTGTACCGAAAGTTTGATTGCGTAACAAACTTTTGAAGTCAAACTGATACTTTCTTTACGCTAACCGATACATTGCTCTTTATTTATCTTCAAGAACGAAATATTATGTGAAAAAAAAATATTGTAACGTACATGAAAAGCACCCTCTAGGATACTCTACTAAAACCAGTTTCTTATCTTTACAGTCATTATTATTATCTTTACAGTCATTATTAGCTTCTTATTCGTAACTCTGTCTCATTTCTTGAGCAAGAAATTTAAGCTTTCTAGTCACGCACTCGTTATGAAGTGATCATAAAGCGATTCCCAATTATCACTTCTCACTACTTTAAAATCGTTCAGAACATATGATGCAGTATTTTTGTCTTCAATCATTTTACCTTCTCTCGTTCTATTTCTTCCTACTGGTTTCGCATCCCTCGATTTATTTCATTAATTCATAATTTTCCAAGCTTTTAAGAATTAAAAAAATCCTAGATGTATATTGGGAATATTCAGAATATTGACACAAAACCGTTCTTTCCAACTGGTTTCTGTCCAAAACAAACTCTCAAAGAATTAAAATTTTACCAGGTCCCATTTAAAAATCCAGCTAGTGAAACAAAAGACTTCTAAATTCTTAAAAAAAAAAAATAATTTATGATGACTTTCGATGACAAAAACGAAGTGAGATATGTCGTTATTTAAAATGATTTTGGAAATTGTAAAATCATGTTTTCATCATAAGTAATTCGGAATTAAAAATATCGATACATATCACGATAATCAAAATACGTAACACATGAAAAAATATCAAATTTCAACAATCAGCGATGCAACATACTAGAACAGATTAAATTCTAGATATATAAAGACAATGCAAAGATTCTAGCAATAAGGAATGCTCAAATATTAGCGATAGTGATGTGGCACAAGAAGGCAGCAAATTCCTCCATTTAATTTTTTTTCCATTTTTTGTGAGCCAAAAAAATGCAGTGAAAATTAGGCCGAAAAAAATAGCTGTTACTACTGATGATTCAGAAGGATTCATTTACAGGAGACAATAATGAGGTATCATTTATATATAGATCATAGAAAATTTAGAAATCCGAATCTAAATTAAAACTTTTTCCCTCTTCGCTGCTTAGAACACCAGCTTTCTGGTACTCACTCACACGTTTTTCAAAAAAATTAGTTTTCGCTTCGATCGATATACGTTCCATGAAATCAAATGGGTTATCCGAATAGTATATCTGGAAATACCGCGGCTAGCAGAAAATGAGATCTCCACGAGGTTGATTTCAATTTCAAAAAGTCTGACGAAGAGGTCTTTAACAGTTACAGCTTTATAATTTTGATTATTTAGAAGTACTCCATAAAAAATTACCTTTGCGCAATTGAGTTCTGTTAATAAATGATCAGCTACATATTCAATATACTGACACATCAACTTACAGTTTATACCAATCAAATCCACCGGTAACGCTTCCGTCAAATATTCCTAAAATTCGAACAAGAAACGTAAATCAAATAGTCTTTTCTGCTTTCCGTGAAAAGCCAACTTTGGTAATTGGTGATTAGAAAACTGATTAAATCGACTGACCTTTTCAATATCAACCGCCTCGCGGATAATCTGATAAATTCTTTCCTCTGAAGGTTTATTTTTGATATAAGTGTATAAGAGACATGCAAAATCGCGATGCAAGCCCTGGAGATGAAGACTAACTTTGCTTGAGATTAAATAATAACATTTTCGTTTAATTCGTCATCTCACTTCAATATGTTGGAAAAGTATCTTCGTATTTGAAACGATTGACACAATATATTCAATCTTGAACTTGCTGCATCACAGAACTCCGGAGAGTAAAGGAGTAAGTGCTTCGGTTTTATTAATGATCTGAACTATTTCATCCTAATCGGCCAAAACCATCCTAATCAATTGTCTATTGTTAAATGATTACATATGACATACTTCATCCCTTGAAATCAGTTCGTTACTATGTGTTAAACCAGGCATCAAACCGCGCTTTTTCAACCAAAATATTGCAGCAAAGCTTCCAGAGAAAAATATTCCTAGAAAAGATATTTGTATAATATGAACAGGCAAAGCAATGTATTAAAAACGATTCCTTTGTTTAACAACAAAAAGTAGAAACTGAATATACCTTCAACAGCAGCGAAAGCTATCAGTCGTTCAGCATAGGGAGCATTTATATCAGCAATCCAACATAGTGCCCAATCAGCTTTTTTCTTAACGAATTCGAATTCATAAATTGCGTTGAATAAGAGAGATCTTAAGAAAAAAAAAGAATAATTTCAGTCGCTGATCACATAATTAACTTGATAAGAAAGATATATAATCAAAAGTGCTTTATCATGATACAACTTCACATCGATCCAAAGCAGTGCCTAATTCGATCAGAATTCGGTGATATTTTAAAAATCTATGTAAAGGTAAAACCAGCATGTAAAGAGAAATCAAAATGATCAAAAATGATATACTTTTGTTCTTGATCACGAATATAGGTATCAATCATTTTTGAGTACATTTCAGAATGAATATTCTCGATCATAATTTGAAAACCGTAGAAGAACCGTGCTTCCGGTACCTGAACTTCTTGCGAAAAACGATTTACCTGAATTAAATGGAAGGAATGCAAAACACTACCTTCAAAAAAACGTAGCAAATGAAAAATACTACAAATAAAAATATAACTAAATGAAAAATCCAAATCCTCATAATGATTCCAACAGTTTAAAATAAAGAATTACCAAATTTTCATTTACAATACCATCGGAGGCCGCAAAAAACGCTAAAACCCTTGAGATAAAATGACGCTCCCCATCATTCAAATTTTCCCAATCACGGTAATCCTTACTGAGATCAACCTGAAACATGGAACTGCATATTGTTCGAAAAAAATTTAGTATAATATAGCTAAAATATGTACCGTAGAATTTCATTTTCAAAGAAATTTTACAGAAGAATTTGCATTCATTATAATTATGCCAACAACTGGCCTCATCAACAGTCCAAAATGATGCCAATGCTTTCTTGTAATAATCCCAAATGTCGTGAAATTTGATAGGAAATATAACAAAACGATTAGGATTTTCAGCCAGCAAAATCTCTCCATTTGATTCGCGTCTTAGGATAGTAGCAGCTGTTTCATGAATATCATTTGGTGATTCCGCCTAAAATCACAGCAAAAGAGTATATAAAAATTTCCAATATCATGACTACTATTATATATCATGACTATTATTGATAGAATTCAGACCTTCTGATTCGTTAAATTCTCCTTTGCGCTTAGTAAATCATTAGAGTTAACATTAACTTCTTCAAGTGGCATTGCTGGTAGCAATAAGTGCTGTTGTATTGATCTGAAAAACGAAGAAATGTTGAAAAATTTTCCAATATAGAAGTAAGCTTCTGATGCAAGAAAATACTAAAAAATCATTTTCAAATAAATCAACAGTCATGAAAAAATTAGGATTATCGCGATATATCATTTTTTACCTATTTAAATTTCTTCTCAAAAATCATAAAATAATTTTATTAGGATAATGAAGTATAATTAGTCGTTGTCTACATGTATCCACAACTTCATAACTCTAAAGAATCTTTTGTTCGTTTGATTTGTAAACTCTATTAACGTATATCATTTTAATCTCTTAATGCCAATTAAAAATCAAGTTAATTTCTAAAGCTGTAAACATCTCTCTTATACATTCTCTTTTATGGTAGCTTTAAAAAAAAGCTTTGGATGAATTTTATGGAATTAATCAATTAATCAATATATGAAAAGAAAGATTTCAATTTAGAAAAATTATCTAGAAGTTTAAAAAGGAAAATTCCAAAAAAATTAATGTAACGCTTTGACTGCTTCGGGGCTTACTCATAATAAAGAATTAAGCTTGCATGTAATTTACGGGCATACAAAAACAATACCTTCCTGAAATGCACATTAAATACATATACACATACATACATATATACATACACGCATACACATACATACGTACAAATACATACACACACACACACACACACACACACACACACACACACACACACACACACACACACATCCCCAATTTAAATACTAGCAGAATTTCGCGCCTTTCAGCCGCAAGTAACCGAAAACATACGCAGATAAAATTCAGACTCTCTGGGATGAATTCAAATTTCGGACTCTGTCAACAGAATGAAATTTTCTTCGGTGTTTTGAATTTCTACATTCTGTTTCCTCTATTCTAATAGAGGAGGTTAGTTCAGGTGTTATTGTCTTCGCTATTGTCGATAGTGGAAGTGAATTAAACAGTTCCTTCCAGATCCATAATACAGAAAAAGTGTTGTAATGTTTACAGACACAGAGATGTTACCATTAAAAATGGTACTAGTATTAAATTTAGCTCTCAGAAATGTGCTTATCGCTTGTTATGATGCAGAAGTGGAAGTAACAAGATGAAGGAGTATACTGATCGAATTAGATGCTCTTATGGTATTCTAGAAGGGATCATGGGAATTACGTTCACTTTTTACAGACTTGTCTAATACCATACAATTGAATTTTTAATAAATAATAGGGCATCTTTACCTGGTGCAGATATTCAGTAATGCTCTTTTTGTTTGTGATCCCATTTTTGTTGATCATTGTTGTCATCCACAGTCCTGTTTTTTAATGTATTGTTATGTGATCTTTTGTGGTGTCTGAAAACATTTGAGATAAAACTTCCTATTTATCGTGGGGCAAATAAATGGAAAACAGTAAGTATGTCGTTTTAACTATTTCTTTTTGCTATTTATGAAAAAAGAAATGTGCGAAAAAAGGAAAAACATGAAATTCCCGACAGTCTGAATACAATTTTATTATGCATGGATCATGCATTAACAACATATATAAATGACCATAAAAGGTGGAAAGTGAAAAATCAATTCCGGAATTTCTCTAGGGAGTGGAACTTTCGCTTCCTTGTAAAATTATTTAAATGATATCTTGAAATGATGACTTCATATTCTTCCCTCCAATCAAATTTGATCATACAGGGACCAAAATCATGAAATATGATTGCATTGGCAGCTTATCCGGATTAAATAATACTGTCGTCTGATTTACATGAAGGGATAAATGGTAGCAATGATATACCTTAAAAAGTGAATGGTTTCGACATAACGGTTTTCACACGAGAAAAATTCTGTTGTAGTGCACATAACAAACTAATTTTTGCCTCCAGAATATTCATTTAGATCACGAGTTGATAAAGACTAGAAAATATTTACAAAGCGATCAGATAGAGTAAGGAGTTACCACAACTGCGGTATTTTTAAACAACACTAGAAATCACGATTAATTCTTCAATCTTCCGATTTTTCGGCCGTCAGCAACTTCACAATACTAGCCAAAAGTTGATCAGCTGATGCTTTAACCAGACTATTTACGATGGCACGGTTATTAAAACAGCGCAGCAGTAACTGTTTGCCTTCGCAATCAATTCCCTTACACGGCATAATGAACTGAAATCTAATACATTTACTAATAATAAAATAAGATGTTCAGTGGTATGAAAAATAAACTCAATCTCAAGCAACTGTTTCCGTTGTTTACTGGTTCTCCAGAGTAATTAACATTTATTAATTGGGTTTATTAGCATAAACCTAGTGAAGATGCCACGTAACTTTTTCTTTTACAGTTATTCAGCGTGATGTATAAAAGAGTATAAAAAAGAGAACCGAAAAGTAGCTTACGAAAAAAAATTCTTTTATAATCATTTTTGCTTTTCTCGTTATTATAGTGCTTTGAACCCACCTTTTCTGTTACATAGCATTGCTGAACATCATTCATCAAAGACTGTAGTGACTTTTCTTCCGTATCTTTTGCAATATCCTTGAAAATGTCTTTATTGGTGAAATATTAAATTCCATGAGAGTAATACTATTAACTACAGTTTTAATTTTGTCTTTGACTTCAGAAAAATTTCATATCTCTGTTATGAAATGAAACTTAACAAATGAAACTTAGCAGTAAAACTGCAGGACTTTTGCGCCTATCAACAAGACATTCAGTATAAGGAACCTTGTTAAAAAAGAGTGAACGAAATCACTTAAAGTTATTTAAAATGAAAAAAGAATTCATAAGCTTGTTTTCAAGTTTAATTTTGTAACTAAACTTACGATAATCTGTGGGGCTTCAATCGAATGAAGTACAAATCGTGTTTTTTTATTTTTTTTGTCTTCTCGTACCCAAAGAATCGTTGTACCTCGATCTTCTGCATTCATCAATGACCGCTTTTCACGCGGTATTTCAATAAAACCAAATACGGATGATTTTACTGCGCTTAGCTCTTGTTTAAACTGACCACATGTCTCAAACTAAATTTGAAATATTTTAATACATTTAAAAATCCATCAGTAAAGCAGATACAAACAAAAAAGTTATTAAGCAAATCTCTGAATTCATCCCAGCCATTTGTGAAAAAATCTATCCCAATCCGAATAAAGGAAAACAAATATCTGATATAGTCGTTGATAATCATTTGAGAGGTAATCGCCTCTCAAGCCGTCAAAAACAGACTGAAGAACGTGAACATTAACCGCAAAACCACAGCAAGTTGGAACTGCATTAATTTGTATCAAAGCTGGATTAATTGTCGAGCTCCAGGTTTTGATTCTGAATTCTGGTATGCCAGGAGGACTCCATGCTGTGAAGTTAATCCATGTCCCAGGAACAAGCTTGTCCCATCCTTTTGGCGAATCACTGTCGAAACGAATTTCCAAACAAAGGTAACGAGATGCTAGAAGGGAGCCATCACCCAAAACCAAGCCATCATCCGATAGCTCTGTCTAGAATCATTATAAATTCTAACTGATTATTGTAGGTAAAGTTACTATGTAATCATATCTTTAGTTATCAATCTCTCAATCTAATATGTCTCGTTGCTGAAAAGCATAATTACGATATAATAAGGATATAGTGTTGAGGCTTATTTAATTAATTCAATGATATCAATGTACCTAAACAATTAAGGAAACCTGAAAAATCAGATTTTCGAGAAACAACTGCTTTTTCTAATTTCATTTCACAAACAAAGTAGTCTAAAAAAGACAAACTCTTACATAGCCACTGCTCATAATTGCATTCACCTTCCTTGTTGCCATGTCGGAAAGATCTTTTATCGCAAAACGACTTAAACGACTAGGACCTACATCTGCCACATATACGCATACGGGTGCATAAGGATTATTACTTAACAATATAGGTAGCAGTAATCCATCAGCATCATGAATCAATCCTAGATCGTTATCTTCGCTCCACAAATAACCCATTGGCAAATTCGGTCCCCAGTTGACATTGACCTCTAACTAAAGTGACATAATTTATGGAATGATACATAATTTAAGCTCATTCCACTCTACATCACAGAGCAAGAGTTCACGATCAAACTGGGGTTTTCAGAACTATTATGATTTCGGTCTTTAAAATTATCTATTTTCTTTCGAGTTTATCAGCTCTATGTAATTTCAAATCATTTGCCAATAATAAAATTCCGGGTTAACCAAACTAACTGAATCCTGTTATCAATTGTATAGAATACGGAGCAATTGTATAGAATACGGAATGTTGACTAATCACATGTTTAGTATCATGACGCGTGCAGAATTTTTTTTCAGTATTCGGCTGCGTTTTTCTATAATGCAAGAAATATTAGAAAAAAAAACCAAAAATAGTGATCCAAATTCGAATGGCTTTGCTATAAATGACTTTTTCTCCAATGGACGATATGATCGAACCACATATAATTGTAAAGCAATATTGTAGTACGCGTTAAAATGTATACAGCAACCGATAGGTGTACGCCGAATACGTTTAACATAAGCCAATGCGATTTTAACGTCTCGATATTGACTACTGTACACATTTCGTTCACTAACCAATACACCTTCCGCACCGCATATCTGTAAAGTGATGAAAATATATGATGAGATATCACAACATATAAATTCTTATTATTTATCATAATTTTATATTATTCTAATATGCGTCCTACCACGACACGATTGCGCAGAATCTACTATGGCGTTGCATTCTAAAATTCTACACTATTACTGCAATCATTTATTATTTCTACACTTCTGATATTTATATATCGAGTTGCTTCAATGATTCAGAACTTCATGTCTTGGAAAAAAAGATACAGTACAAGATCTGGACAGACCAAATACATTTAAACATCAAAACTTTTTTTTTTCTAAATAAAATTTGATTCGACATTTATCATACTCTCAATCCTTTTTCCTAATTCTTGGATTAAAAAACGCTGAAGACAATCAAAAAGAAATGATATATTTTCCAACTTAAAACGACACTAAGGAAATATTCTTATATTTTTTGAATTAATTCATCGTAGGTTTAATGCCTTTATTTTTAGCAATCTCACTTGCAAAACAATTCGAAAAAAGACAATCAATACTAAATTTTTTAAAAAATAAAAGTTCAAAGTTGGTTTATCAAACAAGGGTTGGTAATATTAGCTGGTGTTTTGCTCAATCTCCATCAAAATGAGAACAAATTTTGTAAGCTGAAAGCATATAAACTGAAAAAAAAATCGACCTTATGGAAGTCATGGTTGCAAACAGTTTTAAAGATTATTTGATTTTTATAAACAAGCTTTTATTAAGCTGACTATTAGAATTATGTGTACTTTAAGTCAGGCCATTTAAAGAGAATTTAACTTCGTATCTTTTATGACTATGAAGTTTAATTCGTAAAGTAATTCGTAACTTCGCCACCTTTCTTCTTGAACTTTCTCCTGCCTCTCTCCTCGACTGCAGTCTTCATTTTCTTTACATTTTAATTAATAAGAATTAAAGTATTGGAGGTTCCTGAAAATTTTAGTCCTATAACATGACTAATCTATCGTCGACATAATAACGATGATGTGGAAAAACTTACAACGAGTAATTTTATCTCAACACAAAAGTGATGGATATAAGATGAAATAGATTACCTCATACGGATATGATATTTGAGAAAAGGTTTCTTTCATATCCGAGTCACTCTCATCGCTGTCGCTATTGATGATGGTAATAAATCTGGGATCCTCATGATTCCAAGGCTAAAAAAATAATTTTTCAATAATTTTTGTATTCTCTCTACAGCTGTTTGACAACTGCAACTTTCTAATTTGATTCCATTCTATGCAACACATCGTATACAAAAGCAAATAGCAATAAATTAAAAATTTCCATTCTATTTTCTTATTACTCATTATAACATGTATAACATGATTGTAATAAGTAGAATAAGCAACTAAAATCACTTAAACTTAAAAAACTGTTTCATTAAGCATAAAGGATTCGTGGATTTTGGAACTTACAATTCCAAATCCTCATAAGTAAAAAATTGACTGATTTTAAAATCTAGAAAATAATGATTACTACTGTAATCATTCCAAAAGCAGTGCCTCAAATTATTAAAGATAAAGATATGCTGTTGATTTATAAATAAGAAGAACTTACCGCTTCATTTACCAAATTCTGTTCCTCTGATACATCAATATATTCACCAACTTCCACATTCAAAGAGGATATTCTCGTTACTTCCACAGAAATCCAGCAACTAAAAAAATTGAAATCAAAAACATAATTTACACGTTGATCAATAATGAACACTGTATATTTATAAAGCAATGTAATAACAATCCTCTAAATTTAGAAGTGCTTTGATGCTACGATCTTCATTACCACAACACGAGAGTCACACAATCATGCAGTCAAATACTAACTTCGCAAAATAAGCTTTTAAATAAATTTATTTTTATGGATTACCGGTACGCAACGTCAGCAAGAAAGCAGTTCCTCAATTCCGGATCTATTCGAACCTTACCAAACAATTCACAGTAACAATGGTTCTCCCATCCACGCGTTAAGGGTGAAAAAACACAGGTTGATTCAATCTGAAATGATCGAGTTATCAAAAACAAAATCAGCTAAATCCTTCCCATATAACATCCAGTCCTATGAATTATATTTTATCTTCAATTCGATTCCAGTAAACTTATAGACTCCAAAATATCATAGAAAACCGGATATGTCGAATAAATTCTCCTCTACCGATGTCGTTGTTACAAAGAAATTTCACACAAACTATTGAAGCGATGCAAAAAAAGATATAAGTCTATTCTAGAATCATAAAACATAAAACATGAAATTATTTTTGAACTGAGTTTACAAGCACTGAATTCAACTTATTAAATAGTCCTTACCTGCAAACGGTCGCCACTGCTGCGGCAAGGATTCAACGGATATATCTTTACATATTTCTCAATGCAACCTTCTATAACATCACTTTCTTCAAATTCAATCCAGTCACCGAACATAAGGGATCTACTTCTTTCAGCCTGAAGAATCTTTCAAAGTGTTTGCATTTGTATTAACATTTAGTTCATTTGCATGAACTATATTTGCACAAGTTTTACTCACTTCAATTTTACTCATCAATATGAAGTAATAAAATTATTATTATCAGTTCCCATATTTTGGGTACCTCTTCGCATCAAATAATGAATTTGAAAATACATTTGGCCAGTCTTTTTTTTAGCGTTAAAATATTCATAGTTATAAAATTATGTCAAGTAGGAAAAATAATAAATAAAATTTACAAGCCAAAAACTCCAGATATATGCAAAATGAATAAACAAATTAAAACTAATCACTTTGTCGAGATCTTTACGTTCTTGTTTGGTCAGTTTTGCTCTATTTGTTACTGGACCTCGTTTAATAAATAAGAGAGGACTCTTTTCCTCCACATAAACGCAATGCATTATTTCAGTCTCGTAGAGTGGTGGAGTAACAACAACACCATACATTCTTACCTGAAATACTAATATGTTCAACCAGCACATATTCCATCCAAAAAGCATTTTAATAGAAAAAAAGCTGAAAAAAAAACGTCTGAAGAATAAAGAACTTTATAGACGCGAAGTTGAAAATTTTGTAACTATGAATATTTTAACACTAAAAAAAACGACTGGCCAAATGGTAACTCATATTTCCAAATTCATTATTTTCATATAAAGCATTCCATATGTATATTCCAACATTCCATATGAGGTATCTCTCTCCAGGAATTCCTTTTTTAATTTACAGGTACTATTTATACCACAAAAATTGCAAAATGATGTAGAAAATTAAGCTTTTATGAATGTATTTTTACAGAGCAATCAAAAAATAATCATTTATTCTTTTATATCTCACTCCAAAACAAATTCGGAAATTACTAAACAACCCACTTATTTCAATCAGAACATACACACACTTTTTCTTTATTTCGTTCTTCCTACTTCCTTTCTATAACTAATTGTTACATTTAGCTATGTTTCAAGCCTAAATTATATTCGAATATATAAAAGGAAAAATTGCACATGGAATCATCATAACTTAGTGGAACAACATTCGAAAATACAACCACATTAATAACTGATAATTTGTTGTGTTCGAGGGATAAAAATTATATAATCGTATAAGAAAATAAGAAATCATAAAAGTGTAAACAAAACCTAAAGCATTTTACAATTAGTTAATAATTGCATAACTGAACTAACAAGTATAAATTTAAATTTTCCCAATTCGGCTTAAAACATAAACGACACACGAATATAGCATCATTGTGACAATTATGAAATACACGTACTGAGATGAATAATGAGACTGGGCTGAATGAGAGAGAGCAGAGATGATCGAGAACATGTTAATGATAGCATACATTGCTACGGAATCGGTGATTGAAACTGACGAAAGAGATAAGTTAGATAGACGACAGAGATAAGTAGGAGTTGCGAAAGATAGTGCTGCATAGACTGAGAAATATGGAGAGGTTACGTGACAATGATGGTAACAGACATTCAGCGAGAGTACTACTGGTCATTGTCGAAATTGGCGGTGTTGGGTTCTGTGCTTAATAAATTGATGGATCGTTTGTTATTACTGCATCAATTTCACTTCACGCTTGTTGACATACGTTAAGAACAGCCTGCATGTTACGAGGATGACGTCAATGATAGAAGGTGATCCGCATGAAGTGGAACACGTAGAGGATGATCGTTTTCGAGGAGAAGGTAAAATTATCGATGAGCAAGATCGAGAGGAACATTTTGTCAAACCATTACATACTTATTATTGTCGTTGTGGACAGGTATGTACACTTCATATTCTCTTTTACTAGATGGAAAAGAGTAAATTTTGACAATTGAATGTATATAAGAAATATATTCAGGCTCTACATGTGGATATTTAAGCCTTGAAAGAGCTAGTGTTTATGCTTGTTCATCGAGGGATCAGGTGAGAAGAAGCCATTTAATTAGCGAACCTCTGGGATGGGTTACAGTAATTTCAGTTTAGTGAGTTACTTAATAGTGATGTTACAGATAGCGATGATAACAGATACACTGATAACAAGGATGCCTTTACGCCGGCGTGATCGATCACGCGTCATTGATCCAGCACGTACGGAAGCTAAAACATTCGGTGTTAATGGTGATACTGTGTACATAAGAAGGTGAACTTTATATATATATATATATATATCAAAATTTTCCGGATCATCGCCTCTTTTTTCTAATCTATTGAGAATTATCTACTTTCAGCTGAAATCAGTACCTCTCGTCTTATCCTTAGATTTTTTATCTTGTCTACTGCATACCAGAGTTATAAAAACTTTTTTAATTCGACTTTGCCTATTATGCGATTATCAGAATATGACTATAACTTGAATTCACATATAACAATTCTAGAGTAAGACTATAAGTTTAGAGTAAACAGAGTTATAGTCTTATTCTAGAGCTTAGCTTTTTTTTTACAAATCTAGAGTGAGCAGTAGGCAGAAAACTGTTTCATTTTTAATATCTAAATTTTCTTTTTTTTAGAAGAGAAGGATTGGAGCAGCAGTATCGAAAAAATTGTCATAAGTGTGCAAGTCCACTTTTCTACTGTCATCCATTCAACTTTAAAAATTATCTTTTTATCTTTGATAATGCTGTACGCTCTGCACAACAGATTGGTGGTCTTAAACTTGCAAACGAGGAGCAACCCGTCAAAAAGGTCAGTCATTTTTTTTCATAACCAATTGATGTGAAATATTTCATTTTATTATAATTTTTGTTTTAATAGATGTCCATATGGTTCGATTTTAGGTAATCATGACGAAACATGTAAAAAATCAAGGGAAAGTTGGCTCAGTTACTGTTTCTACGGTCGAAGAAGCGGAAGATGAACTAGAAGCGGTAAGTAAGAGAATACCTTTAAACGAGAGTTTTAGACTAAATTTTTTACATTTTTAAAAGTGGTAGGAGCATTTTGCATGCCATATAGATGTTTTTTAAGAACCTGCATTCATACAACGCATTATGTCATTTTCTAATTTTTATTAGGCACTCGCCTTTAATATATGGAATGTGTTATGTATTCTTTAGTCAAAATATAGACGATCCGGACTACAAATTCCTCATCATTGAACATATCATCCCATTCGGACCTATGGGGTTTTAGTTTCACTTGCTTCTCTCGAGTCCTAACCAAATTAAGCTTCCGTCCAACTTAGGAAAGTTAGTCATTGTCAATTAAAAAAACTTATGTGATCCTTTTTGGAAATTTCATGATTTATTGACAATAATTAACAGTTCTGTTATCAGCGTAATAATCAGTTTTTGTTCGAATTAATTGTCAATTTATTCTAGCGAGAAATAGCGGAATCATATACATTGAATGCCCGTATGATTGAATACCAAATGAAAAGGAAAGGAATGTTGAAAAATCAAGTTTCGGAAGAGTTAATTGAGGCGAAGAAAAGACGAGAAGAGAACAAGCGAGGAACGTTGTTATGATGCATTAACTTCTGGCATATATATATTTTTATAACTATCATGATTTCTTCAGAAATAATAGTGCAAAAATGGTAGATTGGTACATATTAAATACGTATCTTGAAATTTCCATCATTTGCATGAAGACAGATCTCTCACCTAGTAAGTTCCGTTAAAATTTCTTTTTTTACTAAACAAAATATTTTTTACCTGCCAATTTTTGGTTAAGAGGTCACTTGAAATTCAAAATTCATTTAAACTTAGACCAGAAAGTTTTTCTATTTAATAGCATGAAAACTTGTTAAATAGACTAACTAATGTGTTCACTTCATCCCAATTATTCTAAAAAAAATTTGAGACATGTAATGCTAATTTTAATCAGGTCAATTTATTTAAATTTTTGCAAATATTTCCGAGTGATTTGTCAAAATTTCCTATTTTTCCAATTAGCATTAATTTGAAAGTATTATTTTGATAATATTACGAATATATGTGTGCAAAACCAACATATGTGCATGTATTATGCATGCACATATATCGCTGTAAGACTAAGACTGTATTATGTATGCACAAGTGTCACTGCAGGCTGCGGGATTTTTTGCTAAATAAACGTATTAGTCTTTTGCATATTGTATTTAATTTTAATCATATCTGTATTTAATTTTGCTTCACTATGCAAACGAGTTTAACTTTGACAGTTTAAATTATTTACAGTGAAATTTGGATGAAAGCAAGCGATATTTTTTTTAATAGTGAGATTAATAATAAATTGTTGAATTGAAAAAAAAAATTTTCATTTTTTTTCGGAAATTTGTTACTCAGTAACTGTACGTTATATTTGCTCTTTATTTTTCACTTCATAGTTTATTTCATTTTATTCCAGACATTAACTCGATATCTAATTATGTTATTAATTCTTCTGAAATTTTTTATAATTGAAAAAACTCTTGAAATCAGAATTCTTGTTCCAATCAAACAAAAACCAATTTATTGATATGCAAATAACATTAGTGAAAAGTTACTTATATGTAAACGCTGACAAATTTTCCGAAATATAATAAACAGGTAATTTAAAAGAAAAAAGGAAGATTTTAAGAAAATTGGAAAAGGAAACTTGCTAATAAAGGAAAGTTGGCTATGGCCAACCATAGTTCAGTTGATAGAGGGAAAGACTGCGGAATGCAGTGGTGCTAGTCAACATGAATTTCTCATTGATTTTTCCCGTTTAAAATAATTTTGAATCGAGAAAGAATTAGACATTTAACAAAATAACACATAGGACAAAATTCTAATTTTCTTCATCCAATTTTTTTCCTTGTTTGATACTTACTATCAGTTGATTGGTCGTATCAAAATCTTTACTATTTTCTATTTTTTCCTTGTCGAATGCTATCAGTTTTTCAGATTCCAGTGATTGCTTTAAGGATGAATCTTTAGCATCAATACGATCTTTATCTTTCTCCATTCGTGATCCATGTTCGATTCTACGTCGCAATTGTTCCGCATAGTAAAACGTTGCGCTGATCATTCTCCCAGCATTTTCAGCTTTTTCTTCCAATGTTGCAAAATGATCGGGTTTTTTTGAGTTACCAAAAACTCGGGAATTAATAGTAGGAGCTGTTTCTGCTTCACGTATTTTCCACTCTTCATCTTTTTCCTTGGAAATTTCCGACATTTCAGATTCTTGTTGTGCTATTGCATCTAATTTGAGGTAGAATTGTTCCATTTCAAGAAAGTCATGACTGGGTTTTTCCAGAATTTTAATGACTTTTTTGGTTTGGCTTGTATTTGCTTTGGTGGAAAACACTCTTTGGATTTTTCCCGATGTCGCTTGGTCTTTTTTTAAATCTTCAAGAATCGGTAACGAACATGATAACATGCAAAGCGATGCTAAAATTTCAATACATCTTAGAAAATTGAAAAATGTTTCAAAATTATGCCCTAAACAGTGTTGAATTTATCACATCCTTCATACAGAATTATATGTGAAATAATTTAACTATTTGAAGAATGAAGGACAATTTTAAAAAGTATACCTGAAAATATCACACTAATTAAACATCATTAATTTTAGAATTGATTCAAATTTACATCTTAATTTATCAAATTTAAAATTTTCTATTTCATCTACTCAGTTGTATTTTTTCCTATCAACAGAAACTTGGAATTTTATTATTTAATTACGATCTAACTCGTAATGTCAAAAGAACATTCAATATTTTGCTTGGCCAGTAACAGTTTTTCTTTCTAATCGCTATTCAAAGTTACCTTGAGAGTTCGCAATCTATCGGTTATTTCGAGAATATAATTGAATCATAAATTTCAAAATAAATTAATGAAAACGGAAAATTCATGCATTTTTCACCTTCAACAACCTCATCCATTTCATTTTGTACTGTTTGCAGAAGGCGGCAATGTACATATTCACGAATATGTACTAATAAATTGTCTGTATTCATATGATAAGGCCAATATTTAAGGGCGCAATCGGCATGTTTAAGAGCATAATCCAGTTTACCGCTGAATGAAAATGAAATTAAATTTAAATAGAAAATGTTGAAAAATCTAATAATCTATGAATACAGTATATAATGGATGTATAAAGTGTTGCGGTCATATGACTTTAAATTGTAATAAATTTTGAGAAAAAAATATTTTGATAAAAACATAAGAATTTTATTCATTAATTTCGAAAAAAACATAGCAAAAGCTTTTTTGAAAATTTGAAATGCAAATAGAAGAATGATAAAGAAGAAAAAGAGGGAGAGAAGGGAAAAGAGAGTAATAACTTACTGTTTAAAATGGTAATAATACATAAGAATATGTGCCACATAATTTTCAGGCTCTTTTGCTACTAACATCTCTAATCGTTCCAAAGTTTGCGTTTTATCAACATTCCAATCATATCTTCTAAAAATTGTTATTAGAAACAAAAAAATGATTATAATTGATAAACTAATCCAAACTTACATCAAAAACGCTAACGGTTGCCCACGAAAGAATAGAGCATCAAGCATTCGCTCACAACATAATTTAGCCTTGTCAATTTTTGAGTTAGCAAGATAAATCTGAAAAGTTTTCGAATTTAACTGGTATAATTTTCAGATTTTATACTATTAATTTTAATATCAATTATTATACTTTAATATTAATCATCCTATTAATTTTAAATGTAATAAAACAATAGAATGCAGATTTATCGACAAGCAATTAGCTACATTTAAACTATAACATACTGCAAATTTTGAACTATTTTCAAATTTAGCAGCTTACGATAATCCTCGCTGAGCTTATTTTTATTTAGATGACGTTACATCCACTAATTTAGCAAGTTTTATTTTTTAATCAAAATTAAATTTGTCAAAAATTGAGAAAAAATGTTAGTTATACCGAATACAAGCACAAATCCCCGAAAGCACTGTATACTGGAAATATTTCGTTCGTTTTATTGACGATATTTTCCAGTGGTTTTAAATCATCATCACTGAGTACCGAAATGTTAACTGCCATTTGTAGTTCCAAAACTGACCGCAACTTTAGGATTCTAAGGAAAAAATGGAAGTAATTTTCAAATAATATAGCAAACACAAATTAGAATTATCCTTTAAATGTTATTAAAGATACTTTAGTATGAAGTTTAAATTTTGAATGTTGAAAACACAAATTTTAATTTTTTAACTTTAAAATTTATTTAGATCTTTTATAAGATATTTTATAACATTTTAATGATGACATTCTAATAAAAAATAATATTTTAACAAAAATCAAACATTACTTGGCATGATGGAAATCCGGTTTTGCTTTCAATGCCAAATCACATAACTTCTGGATATGCTGTAATTTTCGCCTGTTATCATTCTTCAATTCTTTTTTCCAGAAAACTTCATCAATATCTGAATTCTGTCGCTTCCAAAAGATTATTAATGCTTCTTGTAAATACAAATTAGATTCCATTTCTTTTGCTTCATTTTCCAATTTTTTACCACTGGAAGTAAAATCATTTATTATTTATAGTTTTAAATTCCGAAGATTTTTACATCCTTCATTCTTTTAATTCTTTTTAAATTTAAATACGAATTATATTTTTAATTTAAGAAAATAGGCACCCAAATGGATTGTATCGTATCGCACGTGATATGCTTACATAGCGCACAACCAATTGCTTACAACGTCGCATACTGTATCCCGGCGGGTTTTGATCCCATATTCGTTCGAATCGATCCAAAAATTTATCAACCTATGCAAAATGAAATTTTACATCCAAAAAAGAAATTGGATTGAATTTTAAAATATTAACAGAAATATCAAATAATATTCATTTGTTGCTTTAGATAAAACATACATTATTAGAAATCATTAACTTCTGATAATTAGAAAATGAAGATAATGTTGCAGCACATAGCCCAAACAATAAAGTCGTTAGAATATGATATGATAAATATATCATTTTTAAATGAATTTATAATTAAAATCAAACCTATAATCCATTGAATTATCTAATCTATTTAAATATTAATGGTAATTGGATCAGTTTTATTCATCAGTTTTTCAATCATTCTCAAACTTTACTTATCAAATTTTCATCCTATTTACCTAAAATTTCTATGACATTAAATTCTCTTATATCCATTCATATGCCACCTAAATGATTACTAATTACTATCTCATCAAATTATTTATGATTAAAGGATAAAAAAAAATATCAAATGTCAACAGTTGCGCCGTCTTCACGTGTATGCGCCAACGCTAACAATAACGTTGCTTCCAATCGATATTTTCCATTTATCGATTCTTCTTCCAAATTTTTTATTACTGATGATAATTCACCATTTGATAAAGCTTTCAAAGCTTCCTTATATCGACTGTTAAAAACAAGAAATCACAAATTAATTAGGCAAATCCTTTTTTGAAATAATTTCAAATATATTAAAATTTATATAATTTTTTTTCTAAATGTGCAATTTAAGTCATATTACTGACAAATCATTTTTTTAAAAGAAAAAGCAAAACTAAAGATTGGAAAAAAGGAAAAATTAACAATTAGTAGTATGCTGATATAAGATAATTTAAGTTATTTATTATTTGAAACTTAATCAAATGCAGTAAAATGAAAATTAAAATTATTACCCTTCTTTTAATGGAGCAGTGTCGTTTGGAAGTGTACCAAGTAGTTCATTTCGTACACTCCAAATATCCTCAACCAGTGGATCATCACAATCACATGACGTCCATAAGTTGATAAAATCTTGCGTTAGGAATGGTTTCAATAATTGTGCCTGAAATAAATTAAATTTATAGCTTAATTTATTACGATTAGAATTGAACACGTATATAATCAAAATCATTTTCTTCAATTCCATGCTATGTAAATATTGTATCGATAATCGATGAAACAAGGAATAAATTTTTTTTTCTGTATAAAATCGTGATATTTTATTTTTCGAAAAATATGCTAAAAATTACTTACATAGCCATCGATCTGATTGCATTCTTCATTAATTAGATATTTCAAATCATTACTTAACACTCGACTGATATTTTCCAATGATACGTCAAGACAATCTTTATTTAATTCAGTGCAAAAATAAACTAATGCATCTGGAAAAGTTATCAACGAAATGTATCACTTAAACAGATTTATCATATCATTCAATGCAAACATAAATGTTATGTGATGAATGATATAAGATTGTTTAGTATAACTTCAGAAATTTAAATTTTTCAAAATTGAAACGAATTTTTGCAAATTGAGTCCGTCAAATGCTCGGTATAATTTGCATATTATAAAATCAATTTATATCATTGCAAAACGATTTATAAAGAACTTTTTAGAATTAAAACAGAATTGTTTGTTAAAAAATCAACAACAGCACAAATTTCCTTAAAATGAAATAACTTTTTAAAATGATAAAATATGAAATTATTCGTTAAAAAATCATTGCTCTAATTCATCACAGTTAAATCAATAATACAAGCATATAATTTTAATATTTGCTTTTGCTTTAATGTAGTGATAACGAAGGCTTTCACGATTATATTGTTTTATTTTTAAAATTGTTCAACGATTGCAGATTACTTCATTTTTATATAACATATCACAAACATTTTTATGATTATCTCAAGATATGCTGCATGATTACTTGAATTATTAAATTTAAATAAAAATCAACAATAATTCAATTGAAATGTTACACGATTACTTGAATTTTGACAAATTTAAATAAGAATTAAAAATAATTCCTTTTCAATTTAGATGGATGAAGGAAAAAAATCAAAAACTCATTACCAATCAGTGCATTTTCACGATTCTGTAAAGTTTTCCATAAAGCACATCGTTTTAATCGAATATTTCGATCATATGGCCGATATTTAAGTAAATTAGTTAGAGCAGCTATTGCACATTCTAGCGGTTCCTAAAAAAAGATAATCTCAAATGCAAGTTTTTTTTTTTTTTTTAAACTTTTCTTCGGAAAAAAATGAAGGACGAATGCTTGAATAAAATAAATAAATTTTAAATTAAAAACAAAAAATAAAATTTTTACCAAACTGTTTGTTTGTTTCGCTAATGCTTCGTATGTATCACTCATCTTCCAATAAACATTCATTAATTTTGGTAATTTATCATTCATTTCGAAATGATCACAATACATTTGTAATATTTTTAATGATTTTTGATAACTTTCAATTGCTTCATTGTACTGTTTCCTCTCAAAATTAATTCGAGCAGCAATTTCATGATAATATGCTATATTGCAAAATTCATTTTCTATTGAATTATTCGTCAATAATTTTCCGTTCATTTTGTTTCCTGGAATAATTCAATAATTTGCAAATATAAAGTTGTCAATATGAAAATTTTATATATATGAAAATTTTGTTAAAATATGAAAAAGTTTAATTATGCAAAGTAGCAATGAAAATTCTAGGTAAAACTGTCTGATAATGAATAGTTTCGACAGATATTGGTGAAAAAAATATTACTCTTTTTTTTTACCTAATTTCAATTACAACCGATTTATTTTAAATTATTCATTAAAATTTCGTCTTTTCAGAAAGTTTATTTGATTTTTTTTTTGTGCGTTTGAAAATGTATGTATGCAAATAATTAAAAAGATAAGTAAATTAGCATACCTTATTGTTAGAGTATTACTAGTCGGTTCAATATTAATTTCGTTGGATTGATTCCGTAATGATAACTGAAAGTTATGGAGCAATCAATATTGATTAGTCAGTTCTCCTTCAAAATTTGCTCCGTGGATATAACAGTTAGCTGTAAATAATAAATAATTAGTTATGATCTACAGATCATTCGATATTTCGGTTCAAATTTCGGTTAACCGCCAAGTTATCGTCATTAAATTGTTAAACAATGTAAATAGCATGTGGAACTAATGCGGTACATCAACATATTTTGCAGGTCATCATTTCTTCTTGTTTTTAACGGTGCAATGACCCTACCGGGTCGCATCTTTCGACCTCTGACACATATTATTTGCTGCTATTTTGAGTTTGTCATCTTATCTTTTGTCCTTAAGTCTTCACCTAAAGCCCTCCTCTTTTTTTTCTTATAATGTTTTATCCTCGGACCTTGTTCTTCCTTTACATATGACTTGCTATTTACAATTTATAAAATTTATATAAAGTCAAATGGATCTTGCAAACGAGATAACAAAAATACATCAAATAAAAGTTGGATGGACTGAAATTTTCAGATATATTTCTGATATTTAATTCAAGAATCCAATAGAATAAATTTATACGACATGTTGATCAGTGTTTCTGAATTCAAAAATCTAATAGCATAGAATTTACATTGAAGATTTTGAAAGTATGCTAATCCTGAAGTGTTGCAAAAATTAGAATGCTTCACGTTTCAGTTGTTTTCAACCTTTCGTACTCACTTTATGCAATCTTAATGTCGTATGTTCCTTCCAGCTGTAAGGTCAACTGCTGCAAATTAGTAATCTTTATGAAAAATACCCATAACAAGCACTATTAATTTATATAAGAAATTCTACGAGTATTAACAATTTAATATTACAGCAGCAGATATGATCACGGTCACTACCGTTCTTATCAATACTATCACATTAACAATTATCAGTTCGTCATAACCTTTATTATCATATTTATTGCTGCTGTTATAATTATTATTAATTATTATTATCAGTTACTATTATTGTTATTATTATATATAATTATTATTAGCATGATATTCCATTGACCATTGATACTGAAATGTGCTTCTATAAAAATTCCATATTCAAAATCACTCATAGGGTTTGAAATGAAAATTTTTTATTTACTTCACTCTTAATTTTGTTAATTTGAATTGTTGCATTTAAAAAGTTATAGTTTTGCTGTTCTTTACGAGAAATACCGGGTGCATTGGTACAAGATGATCGAAATGCGGAAGAAGTAAGGAAAATGGATGATCTTTGAAGAATTTATTGTTCTGACAATATAATACGCATTAATTGAAATTTCTGTTAACGATTGAAGCATATATTATATTACGCTTTTTAACTTATCAATTTTGATTTATTCGAAAATCAAAGTCTTAAATATTCCTTTTATGTGTTTTGGATGATGCTTTAAAATTTTGAGTACAATTAGGCCTGGATAAATGAAGAAAAAGATTCTGTATTGTGGTAACTTTTACAAAAGAAACACGATCGTTTTCTTTTTTACAATGATTTTCCGTACGTCCAATTTCGAGAAAATTCTGGCAAACATTAATTATTTGAGGATGGGATGAGTTCGGCATTCATTGTGCCAGTGATCTTTGTCGCAAAACCGCAAGGTCTTCTTGTTTTATTCCCTTTTAAATTTACCTTTCCTCTAAATCTGCGTATCTTCGGCATAGTTACCGCTAAGGCTGAAATTTCGTTGGGAGTATATCGCGTAATACGATTTTGACTTACCCTTAATTGGTGCTTTTCTTTCTCGCATTTATCGACTGACTGCTCGTTATGTTCTTATTTCTTAATATAAATTTCTCGAGAAAATGTATTAGCTTATTTATTGATAATGATTCTTCTTATTTACTGATAATGACAATGTTTTTTGTTCCTTTTGTTGATAAATTTTTCTTGGGCGGACATAATAGATAAAATGTACGTATAGCAACGTAGAATGAAAAAAATATCACCTAGATCAATAAGCAAAAACATTGAGGTTCAGTAACATTCGTGAAATGTTATGTTTAAAAAAAAAATATGAAAAATTAACAACTTAAAAAAAATATTTCAATACAACAATTTTTCGAGAGAGATGGAATCGAACTATCTTAAATATGAAAATGTGTTATCTTCCTTGAGTTACATTGTTCTTTTTTTTTTACATAATTCTGCAGTAACAGCAATCGCCAATAATTGAACAATTAAATTTGGGCCTCAAAAAAATTGACCGTTGTGAGAAACAACGGTCAATTTTTTTTTCATTAACATTGGCTTTTCAATATTCAAATCTAGGAATACTAATGACTTTCACAATGAAACTAAATCTAGTTATTACCGAGACTGTTCAGCGTAATTCGACTGTAAGGTCTCTCCATCGATGGTTATTGTTTTGAGCCCACCGTACCGGTTCCTGTTTCATTAGCGGTACAGTTAATTTATCAGTGAAGTGCTCTCTGCAGCTTAGATGATAATGTCATATTCATTTATAATTCCTTTCACATTAAAACTGCTATAATACAAACAATTCGTCTGTTCGATTGCAGCAGTGCATAGGGCGGAAATGTCGCAACTCTTCATTTCAGCGACTTCAATGGTACTCTTTTCTTCTCTATCATGGATTATTTTCTAAATGGGTATAAAATGTGAACAAAAAGTGCATATTATTAACTCAATTCAATTTTTATTACTTTATTTATATTATTCGAATTCATATTAAATTTATCTAGCAAAAAAATTTTTGTATTGTTAGATATTTTGTTTGTAAATTTCATCGAATATACTCTGTTTGAGAATAACAAAGAAAATACATGATAATCACAAATAAACCTGAATTTTGAATTTTTTGTATAATCAAATTCGTTCAAAACACATTGCTTATAAGAGGAAG